AGCCCAGCAGCGGCAGGCAGGGAACCTTGGCTTCCTCCTTCACTGGAGCAAGCAAGCCTCCTGTTCGCTTCAGCTGCGTGGCTTCCGGCCACCATCTTGATTGGCAGTTAATTTGCATATCGCCCTGATTAGCCAATGGGAAGCGTGTCAGAGGGACAGTTAATTACCATGTTTGTCTATTATTAGATAGGATTCTGGGTGCCCTGGCCAGTGTGGCTTGGTTGAGTGTCGTCCCATGAACTGAAAGGTTAATGTTTTGATTCCTGGTCAGGGCACATACCCAGATTGCAGGTTCAATCCCTGGTTGGGATGCATACAGGAGGCAACCGATTGATATTTCTCTCTCACATCAATGTTTCTCTCCCTCTCCCTTTCTCTAAAATCAATAAAAAACATTTTTTTAAATTGTGGGTATGTGCATTTTTCTGGAAAGGGGAGCCATGGGTTTTATTTTGAAAGGGGATGTGACCCCCAAGAGGTCAAAGAACCTTGGAAGGAATCCTTAAGAAGCCCCTTCCCAAGAAATTCAGAAGTGCAAACAAGATAGTTACAAAATAGTCATGGGGACATAAAGTACAACATAGGGAATATAGACAATAATATTGTAATAACGATGTACGGTGCCGGTGAGCACTAGACTTATTGGGGGTCACTTCGGAAATTATTGTCTAACCACTGTGTATACCTGAAACTAACATAATATTGAATGTCAACTGAAACTGAAAACAAAACACACACAAGAAAGGAAGCAGCCCCTTCCCTGCCCTGCTGCTTTACCTAGATCCTCAGGGCTTTTAGTCGAAGGCATTCCGGTGTCTCTGACGCATCACAGTGGTCCCCTGACTCAGTTTCCCGTGTTCCGCTGTGTCTGGCAGGGTGTGTAGAGGCTTTGCATTGGTTGCTCCCAGGACCAGCTCCTTGGTATTCCCCACTACTGCCTTTTGTGCTCCCTGCTGCTTGTGGCCCTTCTCTTCTTTCTGGATGCTGCGGCATCTTTTGCCTAAACCCAAAATTCAATGAGGTGTGCTGAATAGGCCACCGTTCTGATGGGATCAGTCTGGACGAATCGAGTACAACTCTGCCAAGGATCAAAGAATCTCTTCACTACCTATAAGCTCCTAGCATGGTTCTCTATATTTAAAGAAGAAATAGATTTTCTTAATCATTTCTGGCTATTATGTTTTTGAGGAAGGTTGTATCTGATCACCAGGTTTGGCATTGCGTAGAAGTTATCAAACCAATTTTTCAAAACAGCCAGTAGGGCAGTGGTTCTCAACCTTGGCTGCACATTAGAATCACCTGGGAATCTTTTTAAAATCCTGATTTCTGGGCCTCAGCCTCCAGAAATTCTGTTTCTTTGTTATGGGGTGGGGCCACAACATTAGTTACAAAGAAACAGAATTTCTGGAGGATGAGGCCCAGAAATCAGGATTTTAAAAAGATTCCCAGGTGATTCTAATGTGCAGCCAAGGTTGAGAACCACTGCAGTAGGGGAAGCAAAGGTAACCAATCACCACCAGCTGAAGGAGATTATCAATCACACTGATCACAAAGCGGAGATCCTAAACTGATGGGGAAAAGTTCAGAGGCTGAGTGGGGCGGGGGCTGGGACTTCCTGAGGAAAAGGGCCATATCTAAAAAGGAAGGAATACTTGAAAAGAAATCCATCCCCTCCTGACTTTTAAAACTACAGATTGAATCCTGGTTTTTAACCACAAGCAAAGGAGGAGAGCAATGTGGCTGCCGGCAGCCAACAGTCTGGCCTTTCCAGGATCGCTAGGTTAGGATTAAACAGGAACCTCACTGCCTGTACCTGAAAGTAACACGTGTGGAGGGCGGAGGGACCCATACAGGAGGATTGGTAAGAGGCAGACCCTGAGGCGGAGCCTAAGACTGACTGTCAGCATCAGTATTGATGGCTACCAGGCACAGTTAGGAGACAAAACTACATTTCCTTTAAATGTAGTCTGGAGGGAGGAAGAGCTCTGGTGTTGGGCACACACCGTTTAGTTAGTTGTGGTATGTAGCAACCTGTCTGTGCCTAGGGCTGGGGATGCCCCTTTCTCCACACCCCATCTCAGGCCTACACTCCACAGCTTTGGGTGCAGGATTGGACCTGGCAGAACACAGGTCCACTGATTCTCATGGTTCAGCTCCAAGAATTACCTTTCCCAGAGCAGCAAGTGACCCAGTACCTGAAGGAGAGCCCCTTCTTAGCTCAAGACGAGGAGGCCAGGGGCTGGCTGCGGATTGCCAGCAAGAGCGCTGCCTCCCTCGAGTGGGAGAGAACGAGCCGCATCATGCAGTGTCCTGCTTCTGACTTACTAAAGGGCCCTCTGGAGGGGAGGGTCCGATGACCAATGTTCAAAAAATAGTTTCTCTGCTTCTCAGGGCATTGAAGGCTAATCAACACCTGCAGGCATTTTGACTAGTCATCTGGAGAAAAATCAAGGCCTCCAAGGACAAAGAGGGGTGAGAGGGGGCAGTAAAAACAGACAATGGCAATGCCCTGTCTGGAGAGACTAAGGACAGTTGTTCAACAGGGATGCAAACCTTTAGTTGTTCAACAGGGATGCAAACCTTTGCATAAAAATCAGCCCGTCCTTTCATGCTGGGCTTTACTGTTTCCATGGAAACCTACCCTTTCCCTCTCACCACAGACTCCCCTTCAACATGACCACACTCCTAAGTTTTACTTCCAACCCCAGCTTAGTGGTCATGGGGCTCAGATTCCTGAGACCCGTGGGAGGGAAGGAGCAAGGGCTCGGCCCTGCCTCAGAAGAAGGTGTACCTGGCTTCGCAGGAAGCGGCTCAGGCCCGTTCCTCCTCCAATACCTCCACTCGGGCTGGTCCGGGCCCGCCTGCCTCCTCTGAGTCTTCTCAGGAGGGACGGGGTCAGAGGTGACTGTGCTGTCCACCACCAGCCTCTGAGGGAGGCCCGCCTCCAGATCTTTCTCCAGATCCTCTTCAGAGGAGGAGGAGGAGGAAGAAACAGCCATGGGAGCCTGCACGGCCACTTTCTCCTTTTTGGGAGCCTCTAGGGACAGAGGCTGCACCTTGGGCTTTAGCTCCGCCTCTGGTTGTTCTCCGGCCTTGGCCCCCGAGGTCCTGGTGAGAGGCCACCAGGTGGGTCCAGCCAAAGGGCAGCAGCCGGGACAGCCCTGGCACAGCAGCTGGCAGCAGGCGCGGGGGTGGCAGGGAGGGCACAGGAATGGGGTGCCCAGTGGAAACCCGTGGGTGACATACCCAGTGCCTGGCCCCAGCAGAGAGCAGCAAGGGGCCCAGAGGAGGGTAGTGGGGGGCCTGCTGGTGACAAGCCAGTGCAGCCGCTCCACAGCCTTCTTCCAGACAGTAGGGGGCACCCTCCAGGCCCCGCCCCAAGGCACTGTGGCTGTCCTGCCGTTCCAGAAGAGGACAGTGATTTCTTCTTTGGATACTGCATAATAAAAAATGGCAATGTTTTATTACAACCACCACTTCCATGTCATGGGAGAAGGGTTCTCCTATCCCCCAAGGCAAAACTCAGCGCAGCCTCGCTGCTCTGCCTGCCTCGCATGCACACTTCCCCCTGGGGGGCCTGCCAGGAGCATCATTCACAGGGTTAGAGGCTCCATATTTACCACCACACCTCCTTGTCTCCATTTTCATGTCAAAACCAAAATGCCTCCTCGGGTGGGGGAAGGGAAGGAGGAACCTCCTCCTCTTATTCTCTGAATGTCAGTGATGCTGACTGGTCAGCCCTATAGAAGGGAACTGTCCCTGTCTCTGGACAGCTTGGTGGGGACAGGCCAGGAGTACTGGTGTGACTCAGGCTAACCCCATCGCACCAGCCCTAACCAACAGAGCATCGTAGCTGTAGGCGCTTGTACCCTGTTGAAAAAAATGGTTTTAATCTGAAAGATATGATTTATATATCTGTTGCCACCCCCAGGATTAAACAGCAAGTGAGGGGATAAGGGTATTGAGTGTATGTGTTCTGTTAATCCTCACCCAAGCATATTTTTCCCACTTATTTTTTTATGTTTAAGAGAGAGTGGAAGGGAGGGAGGGGGACAAAGAGAAAGAAGCATCTATATGAGAGAGAGACACATAGATTGGTTACCTCCCACATGCACCCCAACCAGGGCTGGGGTTGGAGCCTGCAACCAAGGTACATGCCCTTGACTGGAATCAAACCCGAGACCCTTCAGTCTGTGGGCTCTAACCACTGAGCAGCCGGCCAGGGCAAGGGTTTGGGTTTGTTTGTTTTTTTAATGCCTCTAAGACCCTTGAGCTACAGAGACACCCTTTGCTCTCTCCTCTGGCCTGATCGCCAGCCTGGCTCCTTCCGGGGGCTGGTAGGACAGAGCAGCTTCCCTTACCTCTCTGGGGGCCTCTTGCCTCCAAGCCCAAAACAGTGGCAGGGCCATACCGCTGTCTGTCCGGCTCCCAGGGCGCCAGCACCTTGTCCCCAGGCTGTAGTGAGTATTCCTCGGGGGTGGAGAACTGGATGACATCTTCTCCTAAGACCACACTCTGCCGTGGGGCTGGCAGCTCTGGGCCCGTGACAAGGGGAGCCTCAAATTCCACAAGCAGAGCCCCCTGCCTCTCCAACTGTGGGCAAGAAAGCACTCAGAATACGATCTGGAGTTAGGAAGTACCACAGGGAGCACACGGTTCCCCACAGCCACGGCTAGAACCAGACCCAGGGGGTTCCTCACGCACGGAGGCCGTTTAAAGAAGGGACAGGGACGAGTACGCCCCTTGTCACAGAGACAACTTGCCTCTGGAGCAGTCTTTATCTGCGCTCGGTAATAAAAGCCATCGGGTCCCCTTCTTGCCAGGACCCACGTGCCAGCAGCATCTCCAGCTCCCCGCAGCCTGCCGGTCCCCTGCCGGGCCGGGTCAGCATAGGGGAGACACGGTTGATATGATGCACATCTGGGAAAAAGCAAATGGAATTAGGGAGTAGAGAAGACCAAGCCCTAAAAACATCAAGAAACACGCTCCACAGGCAGGTCTGCGCAGCACCATGGCGCCTGTATGACATGTAAAGCTGCGTGGAACAGAAATCCACACCAAGAGTGTCCCCAAGGACTTCCGGGGAGATAAACTGTGAGCCTGGGCAGGAGAGGACAGTGAAGGGAACCATTGTGTGAGGACTGGGAATTGCTTCGGGGCAATCAAAATGTCGTTAGCCTTGGTATGTTCAATTAATGCTGGTTCTGAGATTAGATTGCGGACCAAAAAAGAGTACCACGAAGGTACATACCAAGTGGGTGTGTGGGATTCCAGGATGAGAGGGGAGGCTTAGACGGAAATGACAGAGGAGTGAATGTGTAAGATGGCTTGGCGCTGTGGGTCAGAGGGAGGAAGGAGCGCTTGAGCAGGGCAGGCACAGAGAAGCCGAATGAGGGGCTGTGAGGGCAGAAAAAAGGAGAAGCTAGTTCTGGGAATTTTGTGGCCACAGCCGGGGGTGGGTAGGGGTGAGGAGATGATTGTTGAGTCAGGGTTTGGGTTTCTGAAGAGGCTGTTTACTTTTGTGGGTGAGCCTGGATGCAGGGATGCTTAACGCTGGCTCTGAATGAGATGGCCCTCACAGGAGACAGGAGGAGCAAGAAGGGGGCTATGAAGAGTGCAAGCTGGCATGTCCGTAACCTGGGCAGACTGGATTGAGTAGCATGGGCATGAATCCCTGGGACTCACACAGCTGGCATGTGCTTGTAGGCTGAGGTGCCTTTCCCCTTCTTAGGCACCTGACCGAGGATACTATTCAGGAAAAGCCAGGATAACGGAGGGAATCTGAGGGGGTGCCTGGAGCTATTGGTGGCAGAAACTCTAATTCCTCACTCAGAACCAGAGCAAGTCCATAGTGGATGATAAAATAGTCTAGAGCCCAGCCAGCATGGCTCAGTGGTCGAGTGCCGACCTAGGAATGAGGAGGTCATGGTTCGATTCCTGGTCAGGGGACATGCCTGGGTTGCAGGCTTTGATCCCCAGTGTGGGGTGTGCAGAAAACAGCCCATCAATAGTTCTCTCTCATCATTGATGTTTCTGTCTCTCTCTCCCTCTCCTTTCCTCTCTGAAATCAATAAAAATGTTTAAAAACAACAAAAGGTGAGCAATAGGTTCGCGTGATCCCCAGTAGGGGGCATGTAGGACAACGCCGATTGATGTTTCCCTGTCATCGCTGTTTCTCTCCCCCTCCCTCTCTCCCTCCCTCCCTCTCTAAAATCAATAAAAAATTACATATTTAAAAAATACTTTTAAAAAATGGTTTAGAAACTTTGTAACTGGAGATGCCTGACTGCCTTCTCTCCCACATGCCTACTCCGATACCTGTCACTCTGCTACAAGGTGGGACAACAGCCAGGTCAGCCCTTGAGGTCACTGGGAGCACAGTTTAGGCTGGGGTCATGTAATATCTTAAGCCAGTCTTTGGCCCCTTGATTGTGGCTCTTCCTAAGTTAATAACAATGTACCTACCTATATAGTTTAAGTTTAAAAAATTTGGTTCTCAAAAGAGATTTCAGCCAAAACCGGTTTTATGCTCTTACAGCCTTTCTGGTACACTGAGTCTTCCCAGAGGAAGGCAAGGGGTAGAGCTCAGTGGATAGAGCGTCGGCTTGCGGACTGAAAGGTCCCAGGTTCGATTCCGGTCAAGGGCATGTACCTGGGTTGCGGGCACATCCCCAGTGGGGGATGTGCAGGAGGCGGCTGATCGATGTTTCTCTCTCATCGATGTTTCTAACTCTCTATCTCTCTCCCTTCCTCTCTGTAAAAAATCAATAAAATATATTTTTTTAAAAAAAGAGATTTCAATCGTTGTATTGTTGATATTTGGCTCTGTTGACTAATGAGTTTGCTGACCACTCAATGCCTTAAGCAAATCATAGCCCACGCAGTGGAGAGCCCTTTGGCCTTCCCAGGATGCGAGTTCTCCCCTCACGGTTCACTATCTAGAGCAGCGGTTCTCAACCTGTGGGTCGCGACACCTTTGGCGGTCAAACGACCCTTTCACAGGGGTCGCCTAAGACCATTCTGCATATCAGATATTTACATTACAATTCATAACAGTAGCAACATTACAGTGATGAAGTAGCAACGAAAATAATTTTATGGTTGGGTCACAACATGAGGAACTGTATTTAAAGGGCCAGAAGGTTGAGAACCACTGATCAAGAGCCACAGGACAGAGAAGGAAAGGAAGGTGCACACCACTTCGAGAGGGGCAGAGATCGGTACCTGGTGAGAGGGCTGTGCCAGGTGCGCCAGGGTGCTTGGAGGGCAAAGGGGCAGCTGAAGGACAGGCCGCAGGGAGGAGCAGCGCCAGCCCAGGCGGGGGCCTCCAGGGTGGTGGCCACGCTGCAGTACTTGGGCAGAGGCCCCCCAGGCTCTGCGGAGGATTCCATGGCCTTCAGAGTCACCACCTAGAACAAGCACTGCGGTTGTCTGAGTGGCAGCCCCACAGCCCAGCAGAGGACATGGGCTTGGGCAAGGTGAGCGATTAGTGGCCAGGGGCCAGCGGCCTCTCCGGGGCCCCACTCACTCCCACAGACGCTCAGGGTGTCCTTGGGAACCTCAATTCAGGAGAGAGCAAGAGCTGTGATTTTGGAGAAGCCAGCTTTAAACCCTTCACAGCCTGCGGCCTGCGTGCTCACCTCACCTGTGTGCTTGTTACAGCTCAGGGGATAGTACATGGAAAGCACCTGGCATGTACGTAGCTCAATGCATACGCTAGTTTTTCCTCCCCCTTCTCCCCACGTGTA